TTTTTTTTTTACTATACGTGAAATATAATGCGATTAATGTACACCAAATTCATATATATGTTTTTTTTTTCCTCGTCAGGTTGATTATTTCAACAGAAGCGATCTAAAATCAGCATGCGAGCACTTACTGAAAGCCTTGAAATTACGCTACGGGGAGGCCATTTATCTGACGTGCATTATCCTGTTGTTATGTGGAGAGGACGAGTCGAGAAAGAAGGGCGTTAATATGCTCGCCGGATTCAGAAAATCGAAATCGACACAAAACAAGTTGAAAATGTGTCGCAATAATTTGTTGAGGAAGCTGAGAGAGATGTGGGTGAAGAACTCGGATTTAGTCGAGCCGCGAAAGTGCTGTCCGAGTCCAGAACAACATCCATGGAAGAATCAGTGGTGTGAAGATGATGAATGTTCTGAATGCGATGCTTGCAATGCGGATAGAGAGATTAGAAGGATTTGTAGTGCATATAATGGCTAAAATAGTTATGCTTCATGCTATCTTCTAGGTTTGTATTTGTGCAAGAGATATATATATGGAAAATACCAAAGTTCCTTACAATTTGGTTTAGTTGACATAACTTTATTGAAATTGTGTTGGGAGTACCCGAGAGTAAAATATCTTCTCTTAAAACCGGTGGTTCAGAATCGGCACGCCGATTTCTAGCCAATTCAAGGTCGAACAGTGAAAATAATAATAATAATAATAAATAAAAAATCAATTTTTAAATTAAAATTTCGACGTCCAATAGCCAATTTTAGTTCGAAACCGAAAACAAAACCGGCGATTTAAATTTTTAAGAATACATGAACTCGAATCGGCCCGAGTAAATCACGGACCGGTCAGTCAATGGGTTTGACCATGCCGGTTCAACCTGTGGCCACCTAGGCATCTATAGAAGTTGATCAGGAACCATTTCCATCCCTAATCATCTCCCTATTTTTCCCTCTCACAAAGCCACAATCTTTCCAATTTAGACAACTATCTGCTAGACCCAGGTTCACACTTCAATTTTTCACCAACAAAAGCCATAAATTACTCCACAAACCGCCGTATCTAGCTTTTTCTACATATACCAGCCAAAACCCCATCCCCGAGCCACCTCTCGCGGCGGCACACGGCGGACGACAGCCGCAGCGGCCGCGTGTCAGTGTGGTGGGATTTCGAGAATTGCAATTTTGCCGTAAACCCTAACGCGTTTAGAGTATCGCAGAGTATATTTCTTCTTACCCCCTTGTGTTGATTGTTCATTGTTGGACATGAATTAATCTGGGGTTTGTGGTTTTTCTTGTGCTTTGGTGATTTTTGTGCTTGCTTTTTTCTCATTTTGTGGATTTATGGTTTGATTGTCATTTGGTTATTCAGATATTGATTTTATTCTATTCTGGGAAAAAAGGACTCTTGTTTGCGATTTTTATTGTTGCAGAAATTGGTGCTTCTTAGTAAATAGAATGTAAAATGTGCCTTAGTTTAAAGAGTGCGGCGAATAACTCGTGCAGGCGTTTTGTTCGTAAGAATCTGCGCGAAGAAGCCGAACTGAATATCCGCAGCACTAATCCGTGTTCTGATTCTAAATGAGAGTATATAATTATAAGCAAATGTTAACATTTACATATACTTACAAGGTCTTGGTTTTTCTTTTGGCTTTAAGCTAATTAACACTTTCAATTTTCTTCTGTAGTTCCTTTTAGTGATTGCAAATGCCCCCTTTCATTTTTTTTTTTTTT